ATTTTATTTCAATCAGTCGAGCTGATACAAATATAAAACTCATGTTCGTTTAATTGTAATAAATTGATGAGTAAAACCGCAAAAAGCTGTAGACAAATATTAAGATTGTTTTTGTTCTGTTTTTCTCCGTGGTCGAAAATTTAGTATAATCCATTAAGTTTGAAAGTTAAGGTTCATTTGCCAAAACAGTCTTTCTCGAAAAATGGATTATAAAATGCAAAAAGTTCAATTTGCACAGTTCGAGTAGATTTAGTATAAAATTACGTACGTGTTAAGGCAGCACTGTACACTGCACCTGCAACTGTGGTGACATAAAAATTTCCTTTAAATGCCGCGAGCAATAACAAGTCAATAAATGTAAGCTTTCTAAAGTTCTTCCTGAGATAAACTTTAAGTATGCCAAAGTTCATAATAATATTGTAATATTCAGGGCCGGATTTAACCTTAGCACCACCCCTGGGCATCGTAAAAAATGCCGCCCTATTATCGATATTTTGAATAAAGTGTTGAAAGTTAAAAAAAAATAATTAATCATTTTTCGAAATATGCAAAAAAATAATAATTTATAAATGATATCAATTTTTCGAAAAGTCAATCTTTTTCGATAATGCCAAAAAAAATATCCCACTCTCCAAATCTTGCCACCCCTAAATATTTGCCGCCCTGGGCACTAGCCCCGAGTGCCCCTAGTGTAAATCCAGGGCTGGTAATATTCTTAAAAATGGCCAAACGTGTCGAATTAGCTAACTAATTAATAAAATAAAGGATCACGTCGTTAACTTACGTAAAAAAATTACAGAAATATACATTTTCTTAATATACATACATAATTACCTACTTTTTCTTATATTATAGTTTCGTGCTTGTGTGTGTACTTGTTTTTTAATTTTTACTTTAAGTTAAAAACTTAAACTAACTTAAAACAAATAATTGTATTATTCAAAATATATTAACTTAATATTAAATTAACAACAAAATGTGCACTTTACTTCCTTTTTTACTTATAATTTCCTAATAAAGAAAATAGGAAAAGGTTCTACGACAAACTCGACATATTGGACGTACACAGAGTCATAAAACTTTTATTGGTCATGAAAAGTCAATTAACTAGTTTGTTCTTAAGCATAATGTCGCAATATTGAAGATATTTGAGGAAAAGGATTTCAATAAATAATAGCTTGTATTATTTCTAGGACCTGGGCCACCGAGCTTAGCTCGGAGTTTTTGGTTAAAAAGTACAATTTTACTTTCTTAGATTTACGCGAATGTTTGACATTATTAAATAAAACTATCTTTTCGGATTATTTCGTTGATTCCGCGAAATAATCCGAAAAGATAGTTTTATTTAATAAGTACAATTTTCTTAAAAAAAAAACTAAAAACTTCAATAAATACAAAAAAAAAACAAAAAAAAATTATACCTTTGTATCCGACCGGGATTTAAACTTTTTAATCTTGCGCCTTGGCCGTTTGACTATTATGCTTATATCCGAACGTGCGAAATTATCGAACATAATATTTTGCATGGAATAATGCAAAAGAAAACCGCAAGAAAATTCGAAAACCGTTTTCCCAGACATAAGACTAATCTAGATCGATTTATCGCCCCCCAAACCCCTTGTATACTAAATTTCATGAAAATCGTTGGAGCCGTTTCCGAGATTCTGATTATATATATATATATATATATATATATATATATATATTGCTCGTTTAAATATATTTGATAATATATGAGTCAATATTTCTCAATTCCAGATATTTCCATCAACAAGAAACTCTTGAACAGTGTAATAGGGTTTGCTCAGTAAAATATTTTTAATTTTATGTTTAAATATTTGAAAAGGTAAATCCAGGACATTTTGTGGAATCTTATTATATATGGAATCTTATTATATGTACATTATGTGTATACTCAGGCTCGTTAAGGGTTTATTCATCTTTAGGAATCGAAATCTGGGCGTAACAAGCTTATTTCTATTCTTGTTTACAACTGTTTTATATATAATAATTTAAACTTTTGCATACAAGTATTCTATATTAAACAGTATATACACAACCACGTGTTTAATTTATTAATTAACGTGTTGTATCGCTGTTTATTGACGAGTGTGTGCTTGTGAATCTTGCTTTTTTGTCGCAAATATAAGTATAATGTAAAATAAAAATAAAACTAAAATGTTTATTGTTCCTCAAATTTAGTGGAATAACTTACGACGCAATAAAAATAGAATTTTCAATAGCAGTAATGGTTATGGTTTTGCACAAGTTGAAGTTATTTCAAGATAACGTGAATAATATTTATGACTTCCAAGTTATATAGAAATAGGAAAAAGAGGAATGGATGGATAGTTTCAAATATAATATATCCATATTTTTATAAATATTTTCTTTTTCAAGTTTAATGTGTTATGGTTTAGGTAACTTGTCCTTATTGACCTAAATCAATTTGAAATCCGCAAAAATCCCAAAAAATAGTTTTATTGAAAACTAGCGGCTCACCTCTCACTCGCTTCACTCGGGTTCAACGTTAGGTACGTTTTAAATAGATATATAAATAGTTATTAGCTAGCGTTAGCCAAATAAATTTTAATTTTTTTGTTAATAAGATTGACAAATATTGACATTATTATTTATACGATTCTAAAGTCACTCAATTGTTTTGCCTTCCCGGAACCTCTCCACTAACACTTAAACTTTATGGTATGGTATTAAAGTTCAAATTGACTTTTCAGTATTATTGCGAATCTTGTATGGGAGTATAAAAAAGTGTTGTTTTTAGACTTTTTCAGGCAATTTTTTAAATTTTTCTCTCTGTAAGAACCATCCTCGTACTTCAAGGAATATTTAAAAAAAAGAATTAGCGAAATCGGTTCAGCTGCTCTCGAGATTTATGCTTACCAACACATTCAGCGATTCATTTTTATATTATAGAAGATATTATAAAACTAGCGACTCACCCTCTTTTCGCTCGATTTCGCCTCTAGGAATACAAAAATAAACTTATACCACGGGAACCGTACATATTTCCGGGATAAAAAGTGGTCTATGATTCCGGGATTTCGGGATTCGGATTCCGGTATAAAAAGTAGACTATAATCTATCTCTGTGCCCATCCAGATCCGTTTAGCCGTTCTGGCGTGAAAGAGTAACAAACATCCATACTTACAAACTTTCACATTTATAATAACTAGCTCATCAAGGGTCCAACAGTTTCGGAGATTAGTCCGTACAAACAGACAGACAGAGAAACAATGGAATTTGAAAAAAAAACTGGATTTGTTCTATTTTCTTATTACATCCCCCTGACTCGATTTTTAGCAGTTTATTTCTATGTACAGACATTCAACCTTTACAGTTTTATTATATGTATAGATACGGATTAGCAAAATATTTCTTAGTTAAACTAACACCCTACGTAAGTAATATATTGGGTTCATAATCTCAGCCATGTATGTATAGTTACGGGATTAGGCTTGTTCAAATATTTATAGTTCTTGCTCAACTTTTTGGCCGGTAGTATTCCGGAAATAGCCCGTTTGTGCTTTCCGATGCTCGCCGGCGAGGTTTAGTGGTACTTTACTGGAAACCTATTTACTTGGCAATTGAAAATATTAAGGAAAATCTGGATTTATTAAATATAACAGTTTTCAGGATCATTCATTTAATCCTTCTGCTCTTGTGTAACTTAAACAACGCTTTTATACTGTAGGATAACTTAAAAGTAACGTAAATAAAATAATGTTTTTTTAGTAAGAAATAATGGTAAAGATTTTTTTCATGATTCTGTCAAAGTATTATCTTGAGAGATTGACTGAATATTATGCTAATATCTACTAAAATCTATACTTATGTACTTATTACATACTTTCAGAAGCTCAATTCATGAGTGTTTCTATTTAGTCTGGAAGCATTACAAATATACACGATTGCCGCTTTACATGGCAGCGCATAAAACGTGGTGATTAGATTGTTGGATACTCAGCCGTTTGGAATAAAACTTAACTCTATGCCCAATGCCTACATTAAATGTTTAAATATAATGATATTACTGTTATTTTATAATTATTTTTCAAATTAAATATGCCACCTTTTTAAATTAAAAAATCTGTTTTATTATGTTGTGTATTTAGTATATTGTTTGTAATTTCGTACATACTTTTGGAACAATTTTTTTAATAAGCCTATAGAAATAATAAAGAGTACAATATCATCATATTGAGACTTTAAATATATTGCTGCGCCTTCAGCACGTTTGCCGAATGAAGAGCTAAGCGCCTGATATTAATGGAATTGTTAGCATGTAGCCATATTATAATGGCTCATAAGATTTCATCACTATTTCGAATGAAGGCTATACACAGACATACAGGCAAGCTACTTTACTTTAGTCACTAGTTATTTTTCGTATTAAACAATTTTAATCCCTCCAGGATCGCGGACAGGCCGGCGATGCAGTTAGCAATAGATTTCTTAGACATTTAATTATTTTTTTAGAAATTTACCTGGAGGTGTTAAGGAAGGGCACTGGGGTTATTTATAAATAAACATGAATAAGTCTTGGCCAACGTTAGACTGAAAGGAAATCTATTTACAGGTAGACAAAATGTTTGATTACTATTCGCAGCATATCAATTATGTAAAGTAAATTAAACTATGTCAATTATTGATAATTTGGTCTATTCAAGCTCTTCGTTAAATGAATTCGATAACGATTATTTGGAGGGAGAAAACCTATTTCTAAATACTTCTTGCTTATAAAATGTCCAAAAGTGCTAAGTTATAATAGATCAATTTTAAATTCCCGTTATTTTGAAAAAACCGACTGAAACATAAATTTGAACAAATTTTATTTATTTTTAATATACATGAATAGTAAATGATATAGGAAGATTAAATGAATTTCTTAACAGGCTGAAATTTTAACTGTACATTTTCTTAAAAATAAGTATGCTCGACTTGGCGGGGGCACTGCTGTGCCCCCAGATTTTGAATGTTTAAAAGGCGTTAAACTTTACGTTGGCATTATTTTTATAGGAAATAATATTGACGATCCAGTTTAGATTAGGACTGACCATTGCAATTATACTCGCAGAGCTTCCTGGCGTACGACTAAGAGTCTTGGTGTTTTCGTCGCAGTCATCAAGAGACATAGAGTTGACTCCCACGACGCCGGACGGATGCAAGACGGCTCCACCAGAATCACCGCCACAAATAGTCGCAACAAGTCCACAAGATGGAACTAAACACATCATATGCTTAGTTTCTACGTCATTTGTAAGACACTTATTAAGCATACCTTTTAAAACTTGCAGGGGCTTCTCAAGTGCCGAAGCATTTGTACTACCAAAACCTAGAACAAGAGCTTCGTGACCAACGAAAGATCTGTAGTCCACAGCGCTTATCTTAGCATATGAGGCGACTGATAACTTTTCACAACGAAACAAAGCAAGATCATTTTCAACATTTTCATATAATAATTTACTATAACTTGGGTGTCTGAGAAATTCTAGGAGTGGAGATATCTGACCGAGAAATTTTGGAAAATAACTGTTGTATCTTGCAAATGATTTCACCTTTGGATGATCTAGTTCTTTAAAATAACAATGACCGGCTGTGAGGATCCAAGTTGAACGAATAGCTGTGCCTGTACAAAACCGGAAATATTCTTTTATATCTTGACGTATGATTAATATTTCTAAGCGAACAGCAAAAGGAAACTCATCTTTTAGGGAATCTCTTCCTCCAAGCACACGTAGAGTTGCCACTGTCTGATTGATGCTATTTAGTATAAATATGAAATAATGTAATTTCATGTTATATACTTATAATTCTCTTATCAAAAATGTTTACTTCAAACTTTTAATTTATACAATTGTAAAAAATACAATTTTGTGATAGTTCAATTTATTGTTTTAGTATTTTATTTGTTGATAGTTTTTATGTCGAAATATTGTTACGACTTTGAGTTTTTATATTAAAGCTGATTTCTTTGATGATGTTTTTCTTGAATTTGTTGAAATAAATAACGTTATATTGTAACCATTTAAATCTGTCATGATTCAATAAAAACGTTTATGGTTTTAGTATTTCACAAAACATTAGTTTTTGAATTGAATTGGAAGATATTAAAACGAAATTGTCTTATAGCATCGGAAAATAAAGCTTACACGTCTTGCATTATAAATGTGTTATGGCTACCTCAAATACAGGAGTCATTCGTCACCTACATATGTACAATGTACATATATCGTATATACCCAAAAATTATTTATGATCAGAATTACTTGAAACTTGATATTAATGCTCTTCAATACAATTAAGTAAATACGTGTTTTGGTATTTTTCGAAATTCATCTCATAAAGTAAAATAGGGGGTGAAAGTTTGTATGAAACGTATTTTTTAGTTTTTCTGTAGTTTTAGCGCGAGCGATGCCGCGAGTTCTGCTAGTGTGGATCTTTGCTCATTTTTCCCTTACTTTCGAACATGTACATATGAGTTAATCCTTAGAGAGGAAAAGCTTCTTATGACCGTGCGACGGTAGGAACACTATTGGATGATTTCTATCGAGCGTGACGCGCTCTGCTTGAGATTGTCAATAGCTCGAGCCGGAGTCTCGAGCCTCTCCGGATACTTACTTAAGTTGGGGTACAACTATCAACAATATGATTCTGTAAAAATATAATATTTTATGAAATGAAAATGTCCTACTTTCTATCTATATATTTTCATAACAACTTTTTCATTAACAAGCATTTTGATTGCTAATATTTTACATACAGTTCGTAGTTTCAATGGTTTTAAAGAAGCAAAATAAATTAATGATCCTGTATTTTAACATATTAAATCAAAACATTTTGTTATAATTTCTTTTCTCAACGTTAACTTAATGTAACCTTAATCTTCAGATTAAGAAAATCTTCTCAATGTAAGGAGCAATTATACTTCATAAGTTAAATTAACCTCAAAACCCTAGACTCATAAAAGTTTTCTATTAATTTTCTGTGTTTTCTTGTATTATTCATTTTATGGTTAAATTAAACAAAAGGCCAAAGCAAAGAGTAAAATTAAAATGTGTAATATTAAAATGAGTTATACGATATACACACTCATACATGTATTTACAATATCAAGTTTAAAAAAAAACTTTTCATTTTCTATAGATAAAACATCTTTAGAGTTTTATTTGTTTATGTTATTAAGTCCGGTTATATCGATTTTTACTAATACAAAATCAATAATATCCCATATTATATAGAGTATTTGTAGCCAGGTGTGTTTCATTACGGTGTGCACTGCGGTCAGCTAACCGGACAGGGCTATATGCAAGTCATTAATTGCGTTAATGAACGGCTCTTTAATTTCGCCGAAATTCTAAATATTATTACATATAACGTATCTACTTAAAAATGTAAACGTAGAGTTGTTTAATGATAATTAACGAAGTTTATAATTCGATGAATACTGATAGCTGACCGAGAAATTTTGGAAAGTAACTGTTGTGTCTTGCAAATGTTTTCATCTTCTGGATTTCTTTTAAATAACAATGCCCGACTTGAGTATCCAAGTCGAACGAAAAGTACCAGTGTAGAACTGTGAATATTCTTTTGTATCTAAAGTAAAATTGATGTATCAAGCATTTCCAAGCAATCTGCAAAGGAATCTCATCTTTTAGAACATCTCTTTGTCCAAGCATATATATATATATATATATATATATATATATATATATATATATATATATATATATATAGCATAGCATATATATATTATATAGTATAATTTCATTATATTAGTATGATAATGAGACTAGTATAATGTCTTATCAATATAAGTTATTAAAAAATGACATCCCATCCTCCATCACAAGGTCGCATGTCCTAATGTAGTAATATATATATATATATATCTTACAATATTCTGATATATATATACTACTTCGATATTCGTAGGTATACAACAAATAAGCATTGAGCAGCATATAAGTATGTTGTATAATAATATAATTTAATTGGTCTTATCTGAAATTTGAAATTTTTACTTATGAAGGACGTAGATATGGGCAATGCTTGGCGCTTTGATATTAAAGATGCCAATTAAATTTTAAGTTTGATTTTTGAACGCAATAGTGAAATAATAATAGCTATTATTAACATCTTATTTATTTTTCCTAACTGGAAATTAGGAATGTTTGAATGTTTAAAGAAAACCTTTAAAAATAACTTTAATTGTGTTGGTTTCAAATTTTAGGGCATTAATTAGCGGCTGAATAGCCAATAAATTGAATATATGCATTATGATGCATAATAATTATGTTCTTATTCCTTACAAAGACATTTCGTTGGTCCGTTTTTTCATAACGGGAGCGATCACGATATTTTGTATAGAATAATATGTATATGGTTTATAGGTTACGATTTCTGTGTAAAATAGTATAATTTACGCCATGGAAACAAACAAGGTACCTACTGCAGAGACTGCGAAGATAGCCAGTTGCCGTTGTTAGATATTATAAAAATGAAGGAATTTCTAAATTTTAATTCAGTTGTACAATTTGGAAACTTTTAAAAAGAGATATAAAAAATAAAACAACATAAACAGATTCATTTTATTACTAAGGAAAAATGTTATTTTACATTAGAACTCAGTCCCGCAACTGTATGGTACTCGTAACTCGTACTCGATGCACTCAAAGCACAGGTATACAACAGTCACCAAGTGAATTGAATTTATTTACACAATTATTTTGTTTTGAGCCTTTATTGATCCATAGAATTATACGTGCGTAGTAATTGTGATACCAAATATAAACTAAGACCTACTGCAGATGGCTGATTTTCTCATCGATTTTAGTAGACTTGCCTTAACCGTTTAGTTAGGCTTGTTAGATATTATATGTAAATATATGTACGTTTTCTCCATCCATCAACTGAGGGAATTCGGTAAAAAAATCTGTAAGTCACTATTTAAAAGAGCAACTTTGAGTTTCTCACCGGCTCTTCTTCACAAAACTGCATTTCCAATCGGCGGTAGCTTCCTCGCGGAGTGGCTACACGGACTCTTTAAATTTAATTGACTATTTAAAGTACATGTACATGTAAGCCTAATTAAATTCAATTAATTTTCAATTCAATTCAGTTATTATGGTCACTTCCACAACAGTTCTGACATATCCTCAAAGCCTATTAGATAATTTGTGAGTTATATCGAACGATTTCTTTGTTGAATGTATATAGAAAGATAAGTACAAACAGACAGTAATTAAATGAAGCCTGGTCGGAAGCGCGGGTGAGGAGAAGTATACAAAATATTAGTGAGGAAGAAAGTAGGTTACTCGATTATAATAAGTGCTTTGAGAATTAACTTGCGGCAAATCAGATTTTTATTACTTTATAGTACGAGGGTTGTTACATTGTAAATGACTTACATTCTCGAAGGACCACTTATATGGAGTGGAGATTGGTCGAAGAAATCGATGAATATCAGCAAAGTACAGTGGCGTTAACAAAACATATTACACCATATCCCTCTTAAACACTAACTATAATTATATCTTAAAAACTTTGTACAAGTAATGATAGTAACAATTTTCTATTTGCTTTGAGCAAGAAATTCTTTATAATTATATAAAAGTGGAGTACATGACTATAATACTAGCATTTAATAATAAACTGCGCCTTGATAATTATTTAGATCTTTGTTTTTGGACGTATTTTTTGGAGGTTGGGATTTTTAGATAGTTGTTTGGCGCTCCTTTCTTAAACAAAATAAGATTATTTGAATTGCTTGGTAAATTGATATTTTAACAGTTGACAAATTCTGTCGTCCGGTAGATGGCTAATGTCTTATATATAACGCATATAACTGAGAAAAAAAATTGAAATATAATATAGCCATGTTGAATTAACTTAAGAAGTCAACCGTCAAAAAAGAAAACAATATGTCATAAAGAAAACAATATCTTCTAGACCTTTTTTGCTTTATGACATATTAAATTAGATAAATTCAAAAGAGAATTAAAAAAAAAATCTTAGGATCTCTTTTGAGATCCTTATATTAGTTCGAAAGAACAATGCCATTTTATAGTGTTAAAATACTTTTATAATTATATAGATGTCATTCAGTACTTTTTTTAACGTCCCACTGTTAGGCATGGGGTCTCTCTTCATTGCGAGGGAGGCAAGGTCATAGTCGATTCTCATAAGCCTTCTAGTCGTAGCGCTTTTTAAACTAGTTAGGTTTTTTTTCCTCACGATGTTTTCTTTCATCGTAAGGCGAGAGTGGTGATCACGTTGTAAATTATGTACTACCTATATATTATGTTCTAATTAGTGCCTGCTATAGGGTTTGGAAAAATCATTCAAAAATTCAGAAAACTTATAATCGTGTACTCCACTACTAAGATCTTCGAACACAAAGGATTATAAACTAAATATTACCTAAACAGTAATATTTTAGAAATATTAATAATTATTATAATGTCACATTTAGTATAATGTCACACGTAATTGTTTATTACAAACAAACAAAATAAATATTACGTAATATACTTCTTAATTATTAGATAATAAAATTTAAAAGGAGGCTTTAATAATTAAAAGCTACAACATAAATTCTATCCCAATTGAAAAATTACATAAAATTATCAAACAATTCTTGAATTTACAAAAGAAATGACAAAAGTTTGATTACTTTTATACTTTATAATTTATTCAATTAAATGTACAATATACAAGTAACTTCCTTGTCCTCTCGGCTCGGAGTGCACTCCTGACGTAGACTGTAGGCTGCGGCCATACAGTCCAGTATCCATACTCAGTTCTGGTCCTAATCTGAATTATTTCTTTTAATTCGTATCAAATGACTTTTGATCATCAGATCAAGACAATATTTTATTAATAATTTGATTTTTTTAAGAAATATTTTATGGGACGCATTGGAAGTGGAAAAATATTTGTGTTGTCGTTCATCTCGTAAGATTGTCTTAAACAATTTCAAATAAATCTTCTACAATTTGCAGCTATTAAAGATAATCAACTATGCCTTAAAACGATGGATTTACACATTTAGATATTAGTGATGCGAAGTAAATTGGCTTAAACATACTAATAATGTGACAAAGAATAATTTATTCTCTCATTATGGTAAAGAAACTGTTCAGTTTAGGTCGAAAACTAAATCATAACACACATCATTTCCTGATCTCGACGTTTTTTTAAGTGACTGGCTTTTAACCGTTTCAAATCACACAAATTCATGAAGTAAAAATTAACGTTTATATATTATAGTCTATTATATATTATAGTCCGTTTGAGATAGCATCATCGCTATGTACGTGAGCACGAGTAGGGCCAGACAGCTGCATCGCACGTCGCTCTCGTTGCGGCTTAAAGTAGCAGCCATTTTGTCACCTGTTACATACAATAATCCAGTCACAATTCACGTATCCCACTGCTGGACAAATAATTGTGATGATATAAGTAAGAAAGTAGAATTGGCGGTAAATGTTATAAACAGACGCTCATGTTAAGGTTGTTTCAAAACTAAAATGAAATACGATATTTTAAAACTATAACATCTATGCTTATGTAATACTGGAGTTTCCGCATGTTACTTCGAAATGAAGGTTTATATTGAGCTCACATGGATATTTACTGGATATTAAAGCGAAAGCAATGATTAATTTTTATGTCTGTTTGTTTCTTTGGACCCGCTAACCTTTGGAGCAACTGAGTAAATTTTGATGTAACTACATTTTTACAAATATTTTTACGAAATGTTTTGTGATAAGTGATTGGAGTTACGAATGAAAGCTAGTTAGCAAATATTTAACTTAAAATATCATCATAGTGAACTCCCTGATTGGCTTTACCGATATTGTTAGCGGTAATAGAATCAAATCTCGCATATTTATTTGACCAAATGAAAGATAAAATTAGGGATGTAATAACTGATACAGTTAATAATATACATAAGTATAAGGTACTATTATAATGTGTCTCGATGTGATTGTAAAACTATAACCTGAAACACAGGATTTTAAAGTAGTTCAGGTGGGCTCTAAAATAGTTATCTGATCTAATTTAACTGTTCATAATTTACCTAATTTTAATTGAGTTAACTTAAGTATTTATCCATAATTATGTAATTATGTAAGTAATCTTTATTGACTGCACACCCTTGTTTCGCTCGGGTTCGTTCCTGGGTACGTTTTACAGTTACTATGGAATAGATAGTCTGTATATTAGTATATATTTACATAGGTATTATGAGTTTTATATTCCTTACTTGAGAAATGATTAATACCCCATTCAAACTTTCATCCTCCCTTTCATCCCCTTAAGTGAGAGATCCTATGTCCTTTCCAGAGTCTCAAACTATCTTCACACAAAATTTCACCTAAATCAGTTCAGCGGATTTTTTATTTATCCATTACAAACAAACATACAAAAACAGGTTTATTTTTCACTGTATAATAATAGTATAGACAATAGCTAGATACTCACTGCCCTCTGAGACGTAGACGTATATGTGGGCGGGCTCGGTGTTGGCGGCGCGGCAGGAGTAGTTCCCGGAGTGCGCGGGCGCGGCGGCGCGGATGGCGAGCGCGGACTGCGTGCGCGCGCCCGGCGCCGTCGCCACGCTCACCCCGCGGGCCGCGTCGTAGTTGATCATGCGAGCGTTGTGGTACCAGAATACGTATTGAGGTGGTACCGGACTCTATTGTAGGAGGGAATAAGGCAAAATGTCTCTTTAAGGTTTCCCACTGGGCTATAACTGTATTCTTGATTGAAAAGTTTATTTCTAAACAATTTAATGTTTTGACTAATTTACTGTACACTAGTCACTAACCACATTACTGTACATTATTATATAATTCTATAAGTAAGTATACCTATAGTGGTACAACTTCATACAACCACGCAAAGGTATCAAGCTACTACAAGTACATGTCGGGACGGTGTGTGCGTGACGGCTCATCGACAAGTTCACGTACACGCTGCCTGTTGATAGCACCGGATGTTTCCGGCTCAAACTGTTGACAATTTTAGGCCGAGTGTGTTACGCTCAAAACAAAACGTACACGGCCGCCTTCTTACTCGACTGCAAGGAAAGGGTTATGTTTTCGCGCCTATCTTTGTATATTTGTTTCTTTGTAATATTATTTATTCCCTTATATATTCCAAACCACTCGATAAATTTCTTTAATTAAGGTATCGTTAGATTTGTATCATTAGTCTAAGTGCTCTTGGACAGGTGACATAAAAAAAATTAAATATCGGGGATGCTAGATTCCATAATGTGAAAAAGAAAAAAATAAATAAATCGACGAACTATGTCAAGTGGGGTATTGTTGAATAGATATTTAAAAATCATTATAAGGTTTCTTTCATAATTTTTAATTTTAAATAACAGTTTAGGATATTATTATAATGATTTAAACTTGATAATTTTCCTACTTAAAAATACTTAAAGAGCTTTAAATAAATGAATACATTATAAAAATAAAAAACCCGACTGCATAAAAGCTAACTAAAAAGATGAAACGTTCACGAAGGAACCTAGTATTATGCAGTCGGAGACATACATACGAGTTTGTACATCTTGCGGCAAGCATGAAATATGTAGGTACATATTTATTTATTAGTGTAGTTATCATTCAGTGCACGGTTATACGAAGTTTTGTCTCTGAAGCATTGGTATGTAACAAAAACTCAAGATACACAATGAGCGTCTCAAAAGTGTCCTCAAAAATATGTGCACAATTACAAATGGAATTGTGCTTTTTTCAAATCTCTTTTGTTGAATGCTTTTCGGATCACAAAATTAAAACGCACCCTTTTGCGTTTAAAAAACTACTTTATAAGGTGCCCTTAACTTTCGATTTTAGAATTTTATTCTTTGGTTTCACTTAACATCACACGTCGAAACCACTTTTTGAAGAGATATTTGTTAGGAAATAAGTTTCTATGTTTCCTTATATTAATACTCTGTAGGGATATTTTCCCATGTGACATTAAGTTGTAATTTATAACAAAAAGCGTCGTAATATTTTATATTAATTTACATTCGTTTAATCAAAGTGGCAAGCAAATGAAAATGTATCAGTCAAACGGTCAATAAAATAAGTGAATTTTACTTTCATGTACACCTGAAAGCAATAAATTACAAGTCGAACGAGAGTCGACGCAAACTGCGTGATGAGGTTATCTTGTAGGCTACGAATCATAGGAAAATATTAATTATAATAATCAGACGTCCCGATCTGATCCTACGCATGTAAATTTTAATAATATATTAAATATAATTGTATTGACAAATTTAAAACTAAGAAGTAATATTTATATAATACGAATTGTTTAAAAAAATTAACATAAAGATTTAATTCAGCACCTTAAGTACATCAAAACGTTTTTAAGAAAATGTACAATTTATCTATGCAATAATTTTATAAATAGTACCTTTTCAATAATGCAGACTAAATTAATGGTGGAGCCTGCGTCCACGTGGTACTCGTCAGCTCCGAGGATGAATGCCTCCGGGACTACTATGTGCAGGTGCACGAGACGCGACAGTGTGCCCGAGCCTGTCGATACCTGAGGGTATACTTATACATAAATATTTTCATCCTCTTTCCATTGTGAGTAAATAATAAAAAAAATATCTTATAGTAGTTTTTAACTTTGCTGAACTAATTAATATGTTGCTTTCAAGAGAGCACCAGTGTGTCATAGAATATTTAATTCTTCCCGGAATTGAACCTGTAGCTTCGCGCTCAGTAGTCATAGATAAACAAATTAGTACAATAAAATTTATAATTTGAACTCACACTACATATTTATGAGATGTATGGAAGTTTTTGTAACATTTAAGTCATGAAAGATTCGAAACCATAAGTTGAAGATTTAACTCAGAATTTTATTATATGTATATAGATAACTATTCTTCGTACTCGTACACTTCTTAAGAAATAGTTAATTGAACATCTAAACTTTGAGAATAAAAAATAGTCCTGATTAGAATATTAATACTTATAACTCTTGAAATGTGACGGCGACGGCGGTTCTAAATATCTTGTATAAGATGTCTTATAAATTATTTATATAATAGAATTGAATTTAATCAGTTATTGATGTACGTGCTTGAGTGATTAAGGACTAAAATCTAACTATCTAAAAACCTGACTGAAGCTCCGTTATATGATAAGTCCCATATGAAGTCATAATTAATTGCTGCAAATTAATTAGACATTAACGCAAGTAAAGCCGCAAATAGAAATTAGTCTATAGTAGTTCTTCAGTTCTTTGTTTACGTAACACAACATTGTACCTGACATTCGTAGGTGCCATTGTCACGTTTCTGCACATATTTTATCTGTAATATCCAATCGTCTGATCCTTCACTGTGTAGCACCTGGCGCAAAACAGATACATATCAATTTATTTTCTACGATAACGATTTATTTTCTGCTATAACATGTTTTTTGTGGGGGCTGGTTTAAGCTATAAATTAAAATTAAAAAAAAAATGATTTTAGTTGTAGAATAAAAAGACATGATAATGTCTAAAATTAGGACCAAACTTTCTTTTTAAGGTGGTTAAGGAAGCAAAAAATCTAAAATCATATTAATCGGTCCCGAAAAAGCTGAACAGTGATGTAAGAGTTGAATAATAAAAAAAGTTCTCTTTTACCTGAAACCTTTCATCGTTGGTGTACATGAAGACGCCCGAACTAATTATGTGCCAATCACGACGTCGCACCCATGATATCTGCAACCAACATAAATTGCATTACCCCAGTCTGGAAAGTTTCTTAATACATTTTGTGTTACTGAATATGTTGGTATTTCAGCAAAAATATTGAGGACTCAATTTCGATTATTATTTTTAATTTTATGGAATAAGTGTGTTATACTATTGATATATTCTTATACTGCAAGATGTTTGAATCTCATATGCCTTTAAAATTGTTTATTCTCGATGTAAAATTATAATTTTCAAAAATTACCAAGGTTTCATGGACTATCACTAATTTTACAATACAAACTTACGCCTCTTTCGCCAAGATTGCGAACTGGGCAGTGAAGGAAAGCCACCCCACCGAGCTGGACAAGAACGTCTTCCTGGGTATTATTTATGGTAGGTTCTCTCCTCAAAGCTTCTAGCGAGGAGTACCACAGGTCCCTCCAGGCCGGCACGCCGGCTGCCTCAGCCTCGGCCTGGGCCGCAGCGTCGATGTCTGCTTGAGACATCTCTGTGTGTTGCACTTCTGGGATATTTTGGACATTTTGATTTTCTACAGCGGCCGCCTCGCCTGCCGAGCGCCGCGCCCGGTCTTATAACAATAAATATTTTTTTATTGATTTTCGTTCCGAATGGTAATGGTATGGTTATGGTATGGTATGGTAATAAGGTTTAATCAATCCTCTATATTTTATTTTTACTGTTGAGAATATTATGATTTGGAAAGCATTTATTATTATGTACTGAAGAGTATTTTGTAGTTTATGTTATGATAATGCTTTTTCTGTTAATCCAAAATATAAAATAAATTCCATTTTAATTTTAATGTACATTTTTAGATCCAAGCTTATTTTCGTCGTCGTCGTCGTCTTAAGGTTACACTAAAGGATAATATTACTAGGCAAATTCAATTTTGATACAATTCTGTCAAAATCAATTTTCTTGAATAGAAATAGGATAAGCAGTAATCTAGTAAAAAACGTAGTACTATTTATTTAGTCTTTATTTATATATTATATTTTATATTACATTTATATTTATCTATACTAATATTACAAAGAGGAATGATTTGTTTGCTTGTTTGTTTGTACCGAATAGGCACCGAAACTACAGAACCACTTTAGATGAAGTTTGGTAAGAAGATAGTTTGACACCCTGGGAAGGACATCAAATAATTTTTATCCCGGAAATCATCCCTTAAGGGGGTGAACACGGGGATGCAAGTTTGAACCGGGAAGCAGCCAAGCAAGTATGTTATATTTTATTTAGTATTTATTTATGAGCGTAAATATTAACAGTGGTCCCAGTATTATGGATACGTGTGTGCTTACCGGCGGTGCCGGCGGGCGCGAGTAGCGCGGCGAGAAGCGTCAAGGCGAGCGCGGCCGCCATCCGCCGCCGTTACTGCCTCGTGCACCTGTGGAAAGCATCTTCTATACATAAAATATAAAACAAAGTCGCTACGTACGTTTGTTTTTCCGCTCACTTCTTCTAAGCCACGCAACGTATTTAGATACGGTTTTCACTAAGAGAAAGAGTGATAAACGAGGAAGGTTTATGTAGGTATATACTTGTAGTAATTTGTAAATATTTTGTACAAAACTCAGTCTGGACGATGTTTTGTCAATAATACACTTTTTGTATGATTACAAGGCTAACGCTGGTTAAACTTTTAGACATACATCAATATAAAGTACTAGAAAATTGTAGGCGTAAAAAGCCCCATAGAAAAATCCGCAATAACATGTGTATATTTCCTAAGGTAAGCACGTTCACAATAAGTTTGTTATCTATATAAAACGTACCCGAGGAGGCACACGATCAAAGCGAGGTTTCGTCGTTAGTATTTAATAAAATAAATAGACAAAAAGTAATTCATTGCCATAAATAAAAACAATAAGTACAATTATTAAACATGACTAAATCTATCGTATGGCAACAGGAAGTGACTCAGCTAATTTTGAAATTAATAATAATATATTAACTACTATTCCTCAAGTTTACTTTTAAGGAAATAAATTGAGAAACAACATTTAAAATATAGTTTTATACAAAGACTAGCGACTCACTCTCGCTTCGCTCGGATTCGTCCCTAGGTTGATTCCCTATACAAAGTTTTATCCCCATTTTAACCCCCTTAAAGGATTAATTTTTTGATAAAAATTATTCTATATCCTTCCTAGGGCCTCAAACTATCTTCTTGCCATAATTCATCTAAATCGGTTCAGTAGATTCAGATATTACCCCCTATAAACTCACAAACTCACAAACTTTACCTCTTACTAACTTTACTCATTTTTTTTTATTTAGTCAGGTCTCTTGCGAATCATTTCCAACATGATTAGTCTTACAGTGAAGGAAAACATCTCGAGAAAACCTGCATGTCTGAGAGAACCTAGCAAGTTTTTGAAAGACATGTGAAGTCCGCCAATCCGCACTTGGACAGCGTGGTGGACTATGCCCTGATCCCCCTTGTATTGAAGGGAAGCCCGTGCCCAGCAGTGGGACGTTAAAAAGGGTTGAATATTCACATACAGCACGGGTTATATAGATAAGATCTAATTGCTGTACAGTTCGGTCGGTGTTTGGCGTACCAGTTGACTTAGCAATAAAGGTAGAGCTACATACAGCCGCTATAGCTATTATTTATGCTGTGTCAGCTAGAGTAATCAAAGTGTACTCGTATTTGTAAAGTCCAAGTATAGTACTACTATATCCATACATAATATCTATACATATAATAAAATTCTAACTAATCCGAATCTGTACATTAAATATTTTTTTGTAAATCTCGACATATCGATACAGAGGCCTAATCTGCCTGTGACCACATCACGGAAAAATTATTAGAGGGATTTTGATGAAAGTTATGATCATAGCTGGTTATCGGGGTCAACATATAGGATACTTTTTACTGAGGGAAAATAGAATCATCTCATCTCTAAGAAATCTATACTAAACGTTCAAACGTAAGTTAGGATGAACCCGAGCGGAGCTAGGGTGAATCGCTAGTATACTATAAATCCTAAGTTTAAAGTATGGACTGAATGTGTCGGAACTTTAGCTGCCGGATAGACGAATCAGGTGATAAATTTTTATCTTGAAAAGGGTTCCCGTGAGATAGATGATGGGAATAAACGTGGTTGCCTTTCAGTAATAACTTTTTGTTTGTGTAGTATTGAGTTAATAATTTAAAATCAATTTAAATACTTTCCAGTCAGAATTGACAGAACGATCACTTTTCTTATAATATATTTATAACTTTATATTATATTTTGTAGATACTTATGGAAAAAAACTATGAAACACACATATAATTAATGCTCATATGCACGAGTTATGTACTGAAGTGCGTAAAGAAACGTACTAGGAGAAGTGTAAAATCAGAAGAATGGATTTTCATTGTACTTGTAAGGCAGTTTTATAAAAATTACCAAAAAATCTCTTAAAGAAATAATTTTTCTTTCCAGGTAATTTCAAAGTCGGTATAATTTTGTTGGCCTAAAATAATTACATCTAATTAAGTTCATTATTATTTTTTTGTGAAATTAATTGGGTAGGAATTTTTAAATTAGCAACGATGTAATGAAAATCAATTTAGTTTTAGGCCATTTTTAGGGGTTCGTAGGCAAAACGCTAAAATGGAACCTTTATAATATGGCCGTGTCCATCTGTACGTCTGTCCTTATGTGACTGCTACTCGAAGACTAGCTATTTACTAAATTGCTAAAATTTAACACATAGATAGATTTTAGATGTGTTTACATTTACACTAGGTAATTCTTTAGTATAATTCCAAAAAAAAACAGTATTTGGCACTAGAATAAAATATTATACCAGTACCTCAGGATAAGTCCTTAAAACTCAGAAAGTTTCTAAGTGACTTTTATGATCAAGCAAGCTACAGAGTTATATACTTCTAAAGTTTTCTTTCAACGTAACAAATTAGTTAAATTAATGTATTAAATAGATCAAATATGTTATAATACATAAATTTAATGTTTTAAGCACGGAACCATTTTTTTTGATGCCTAGCTCGCTGCAATAATTATTATCATTATTGGCATTATTTTCAACAATTTTTCCACACAATTATATAAGAAAAAAATAATATTCACACTTATTCACTATTTTTTCAATTTAAATATATATGTATTTGGTTATTAATAAACTGAAATGAAAATATTCTGATTTTCATCATAGAACCTTAAGTAAATTAATGATAAAGGAAAAATCTAATTTTTGGATTTACCAAAAGTAATTGAAGCCACCTGACTTCATAAAAGGAACAATTAACTTCAAATCAAGTTCTTCATTAAGCGTCACGGGCGGGTCTCAACGGATCTATTAATTTCTATATTAAGATTGGGTCTTTTCATACAGAAAGGCAGTCGTGGTCCAGTGGCAGCGAGCTCGTTTGGGAAACTAACGGAAGAGGGTTCAGATCCCGAGGCTCACACTTCTCTTAAGCGAATCATTTTTTACATGGTTACCATCTGCCTTACGGTAAAGGAAAAAATCGTGAGGAATTTTGCATGTCTAAAAAAACCTAGCAAGTTTTCGAGAGACATGTGAAGTCCACCAAACCGCACTTTTCCAGCGTGGTGGGCTATAGCCTCGTATTGAAGGCAGGCTCGTGCCCAGCAGTGGCAATGTTATTAAGGTGTATATAAAATAAAATAGTTTTCATACTTTGTGCAACAGATTTAATATCTTTAGTTAACTTTCTCTCTGATCTATACGCGAAAATCACTTTGACCCTTTGCTGCGTAAAAACTGGATAACCCAACAGATAACTTTTCATTTTTATACATTGTTAGAAATTATAAAGAATAATTTGTTTATCCTGAAACATACGAAAGAAACTCGGTGGAAAGCGTTTGTCTGTACGCATGTGCGCGCAATCTGGAGAACTACTGTACTTATTTTCACCTTAAGTAAATTAATTAATTATTTCTTACAAAAGCTGATAAGTACCTATTTATCTAATTTTGTGTTACGCTTGATCAATTATTAACATAATAATCAGACAGAAACATCGACTTCGAAACTTGAACTATTGAATTTGCAAATAAAATTTGAAATTCATATGACAACTTGTGATGATAATGAATCTATATATAATCATTAATAAAAATATTTGAAAGTCGTTTCACAGTTGCAAAATATATTGCGTAAAAATATAAAAAAAACTTGAGATTGATGAAAAGTATTAAAAAAAACCTAGAAGATTCAAAATGTTATTAAAAATGATATTATATAAATTGAATTCATTTATAAATTATTATATTTTTATACATATTATAATAAATATCTAAGGCGAATCTCTACATTAAATATTTTTTGGAAAATTTTATCGATATAGACATTATTATCGATATAGAGGTCGAATCTATAGTTTTTAGAGTTTTTGTCTGTCTGTCTGTCTGTTACCGCATCACGGAAAAACCACTGGAGGGATTTTGATGAAATTTGGTATGGTAATAGCTGATTATCCGGGTCAACATATAGGATACTTTTTACCGCAGGAAAATGTCTCATTTCTGAGAAAAATACAAAAACTGTAAGAGTATACTTATCTCAAAAACCTAAGAATTTGATTTTTGGTCATCTGAACGCGGGGGGAGCCGCGGGCAATGCTAGTTTTATAATATAAATTAAAGAAACCTTTTCTGTTATATTATAACATATGTATTACAATGCTTGTAAACATGTTAAATCGCTATTCAGTTCATGTAATACTTTTTAACATTCTAAAGCGCGCTCTGGAGGCGGGGGCCGGGGGCGGCTGCGATAGTGTGAGCCGGGCTTAAGAAATCTAATAACGTATAAGTCATTACATCGGTATATTGGATTATTTCTTCAATAAAGCTTGACATGTATTGAGTTTTCTACAGTAGTTCCCTTGCGATTTAATATTCCACTAAGGAGCGTACATAATTTCATTGCGAGGAGTCCGAATACTTTACAGCAATCATGGTCACGGAAGAGACTAAGATTTTAGACGTAAGGTTTTAGATTATATAGGTGTTTTCGAAACGTCGGGAACCAAAAATCAAAATAAAGCGTCGAAAATCTAAAACGATAGTTTTATTTAAAAGAGCGTTGACAGATTTTACACGTCTTTCGAAAACCCGTTTAAGTATCAAATATTTCTCTCAAGTTCCTCACGATACTTTCTTTCACGTAATGACCATAATGAAAATATATTTGATGAGATTTGTATATAAAAGTAAGGAAGTGCTTGGAATGTATTTCTTTTACTTTTAAACCATTAACACTAGATATTATCCATTTATGTGGAAAAGCGTAGAACAGAAAGCTCAAGTCATACTTTGAATATGTATATGTTGGATATTATATACAATTGAATCGATACATATTTTTTTAGT